GGTTACTGGATTTGAAGTAGTCGGTAGTTGGCGGTAAAACACAATGCAATCGGCGAAAATCGCTGAATTGGCGAAAAATTCTAAAATTTCGACAAAAATCACTAAAAATACTTGAAAAAGGAAAAAATCGTAAAAAATGGATTACGATCGTAAAATCGTAAAGATAAACGCATTTTCGTAAAAATTACGAAAAATTCGTAAAAGTTGGCAGGTATGTGTTCGTGAACTATTAACTTTAGTTGTTAAAAATGCTACCAAATCAAGGCTTAGTATCACTCAATTAAATGATAAACTTGAATCCCACCTCAGATCTTTAGAATCCATTGGGATGACATCAGACAAATATTCTGCAATGCTCTTCCCCCTTGTGGAGTCATGTATTCCAGAAGACACGTTGAGAGTTTGGTTGAGAAACTCAGTAAATGAAGAGAAATCATATAGTGCAAGGCTGAGCCAACTTTTAAATTTTCTAAGGGCTGAGGTCGATGAGGAAGAAAGAATAACTCTAGCAAAGTCAGGTATGAAGCAAAGTGATCCATATAGAAGTTTAAACAACAACAATGTTGTAAATTGTATTTTCTGTGAAAAATCTCATCAAAGCAAAGACTGCTACAAAGCACAAAGTTTAAGTCATGATGAAAAATTGAAAATTATGAAGATGTTGAAAGTTGCTTTACGTTTTTGAAAACAAACCATCGAGCTAAAAATTAAGTAAGTTAAAGTTCTGCGCATGTTTTGTAGTAGGAAGCATTACATTGTTTGTTGTCCAGAATTTAAGCAGAAATCAAGAGTTCCTGTCAAGTTCAATCAAGAAAATTGTGAAATTAGCACTCTTTCTTCAACAGGCACTTCAAGAAGAATTTTGCTTCAAACTTTAGTGGTTGCTATTCAACCATGGACGCTTATAAGAGATAGACTAACCCAGTAGGTGGGGAGTGCGTCACCGACATGTCGGCAAGAAAGAGTAAGGACGATCTGATTTACTTTAACACTCAAACATATGACGTTTGTATCACATAATTATTAAATGTGATACGTTGTATAGTGATGATATTATGAAAGCCACAGTTTTTTTAATAGGATTTAATATATCTCATTAAAGCACTTTTTACTGCATTTCGCACATTTTTTTCATGCCTAATTCTTTACAAACATCTTTACTTTGGTAAAACGGTAAAAACTCTAAGCACAAATTTATGAACTTAATTTTGCGTAAAAATAAAGTAAAATTAAATAAGATTGATAACATGCGATGCTTTGAAATAAATAAGGTAAAATTAAACAAGATCTGATAATTTTTTTTTAAATTTAATGAACATTTTCAGGCACTGATTTTCCAAATTATAATAACATTACAAAACGATCATATTTATTTGATTATATGATCATTAAATTATTAACATTAAAGTGGATTAGTTATTTTAATAACTCACAAAGTTTTCTGAGCGTAATGAAGGAAAAAAAAAGATAAAATCTAGATGCACTCAGATTTTATATTATGCCCAAAAGGAACCTTTTTTTAAAGTTTTGTGTGTTACCTATATTTATTGAATATCACGTTCTTCGCCCGTAAACCACATTATATTTGAAAACAGCATATCTTTAGAATTTCCGCACTGGAGATAAAACTGTTATTTTCCGTACAGTTCTCGCTCTGAACTCATTGAGTTTGTTAGTCAAAAATTCGTTTAAGTTTTACAAAATATGAAATAGATTAAAACAAATTCGAGATTCGGCCGTCCAGATGCCCATGTTCGGGTGGAGGATTACATTATTCAAAATTTGATGGCTCTAGATACTGCACAGTGCGAGAAACATACATGTATTCATGCAGATTCTTCATTATTTAATTTCTTTACAATATAATACAGGGCGATAATATTTGGTAACACAATTTGCAAGGAGACACGGACATTTATAGTAAAACAGCGCAAAATGCCGCTTCGAAACTAACAGCCTTTCTAGGCTACCGCCCCTTTGGGCTAATAAATTAAATTAACAGTAAATAAAAAAAATCTTATGCAGAACTAAAAATAAATTTAAAAAAATAATCACTATAAAATACAAGCAAAATTAATTATTATGGTTTAATACAATTTTAATATTAGAATTAAATGTATAAAAATTTTTAAGTGTTTATCACTATGATATATTATGAAATATAATTGAAAAAAATTCCTTTTTAGAAATTCTGCTATAATACTCATCTATAATTTTAAAAACGCAGCACAATTTAGAATTTTAAACAAAACTTTCAAAAATTAGTTTTTAAATATTTTAGTATTTTTTACTTATTTACACCAATAAAAAGCAAAAAAATTGCAAGAGAAAATTGCTTGTTTGAAATTTTTTATTAGTTCAGATTTAAACTATCATTTTCTAAAATAAATGGTTACAAATTTCCCTTACAGCATAGGAAAAGGTAAAAAAATATCCAGCCCTGAAAGTATGCAATAGCTTTATAATTATTTGGAATGTTAATTATGCTTGATAAATATGCTAAATTTTTAAAAATCAATCTCAATTTCAAAAATAAAAAAATGTAGAAATTCTCATTTTAAAAATGAGGCGCTACATCCAGCTTTTTCTTGAAAATTATACACACTGCAATAGGCAACCAATGTTAAATTTCTACAAGTCGTCTCTACTCCTCCGTATGTGATCAAGGTGACAGCCGGCAACGCCTCAGACGAGGGAGAAAACCTGTTTGGGTTAGTCTATTTCTTATAAGGTCCATGCATTCAACATGAAGGAAAGAAACTTCATCTTCGAGCGTTGATAGATACTGAACCTGAATATTCCTATGTTTTAAAATCAACAATAGAATCTCTAGGAATAAGATCAGAAGCTCATAAAAAATTAACACATATTGTGTTTGGAGGAAGGACATCTGATCTGAGTCATCAATGTTATAAAATAAATGTTGAGAATCTGCATACTGGTTATACCTGCAAGATTCCTGTGTTAGATCAGCCTATAATTTGTGCATCTATACCTAGTATACAGAAAGGACCTTGGATATCAGAATTAGCTGGGAAGGGAAATTCATATCACAGATGTTAATTGTGTCAACCCACAGATTGATCTTTTGATAGGCTTAGACTTTGCAGAAAATATTTATAAAGAAAAGATAAAGAAATTAAGTTTAGGCATTTTTGCCATGGAAACACTGCTCGGATGGGTGTTGATGGGAAAATCGCCAACATTTGGAGGTGAAAATTCTATTGCTGCTGAGATTACCTCCCTCTTGATTCACAATCAAGATATCAGATGCCTCTGGGAATTAGAAGCAATTGGGCAATACATATTCCTTTGAACTGAAATCTAGAAGTGAAATTGAGAAGGTCATAAAATATAATTTTATGGCAAATCTAAGAGATGAAGAGGCTGATTATTTAAAATGTTTAAAAGATCAAGAAAAAAGAAGTACCAAAAGATGTTAAGAACGAAATGTCCTTTTTGAAGAAGTTTAGGAATGATCCAAACCTGGATGAGAATAAAATTTTAAGAGATTTTATTTTAGATAAGAAATGTAAAGGAAAATATAAAAATGGTGAAATTCCGACTTATGAAGAAACAGATATTGCAGTGTCAAGTGATGATGAAAAAGATATGAAAAGGCAAGAATTGTTTGAACGTAAGTATATTTTCCGATTTGAAGAGCCGGATTCAAAATTCATTAAACTATATCCAAGGATGATTGAAGATTCTGATTGAAGATGTTTTAATAATAAAAGAAGGAAGAAGCATGAAGAATATGTTAAAAGAAAAAAAAATGAAGAAAGAGCGAAAAGAGAAGATCTAAAACATTTGAAAGATTTAATGAGAAAAGAACTTGAAGACAAATTTTTAAATTTGAAAGAAGTGCCTGGTCAAAATGAATTAAACCTTAATGAAGATGATACTGAAAGTGATTTTGAACCTGAAACACTTGACCAGAAAACAAAAGAGCTTTTTAATGATGATTATTATGCTATTCAAGAAGAAAAATGTCCAAAATTTCCATGTGATGAGGAAGTCGATAATGAAGATTGGGACCATTGAATTGGATCAATTAAAAGTGATGAGTGTGGTGAAAAACAACTTGAAGAAAATGCTTCTGAAACATCAGGTGTTGAGATTACAAATTCCAAAATTTATTCTAAATCAGTTTCAGAGAGAAATGATTGAGTCAACTCACACAGAAAGGATAAAGGTTAGAAAGAACTCCTTGTTTGATAAAATAATTTTTAAAGCTAAACCAGTTTTCGATCCAGATGGTAAAATGTTGAATGACTATTTGAATGAGTGCTATAGATTAGATGATGAAGTGATCGAGCCATAAAGATGCCTTCTAGATTCAAGGACTTTTGAGCTTAAAATAAACTTTTAAGTGAACTTTAAAATAGATTTTTAAATGAACTTTAAAATAAATGTTTTAAGTGAACTTCAAAATGGACTTTTAGGTTATATTTTAGATTAATTAAATATTTGTTTTGATAAAAATCCTGTTATCAAAAGGTGGGAGTATGTAAAGTATAGCATTGTTCATCTACATTCAACCAGTGTAATATTAATTTCCTTTTTAGTTTTTGCTTGAGTGGCAACAGCTGTAAAACGTTATTAAGATGGTAGAATAAACTTGTTTGGTTGTGTTTAAATTTTTGAGAGATTATTTAGGTAGAAATGAGTTGATGAATGGACAAATGGTGAACATTTACTGTCGTAGCTAACAAATCCCACTCAACTTATGCTAACAGACAACTTTGTGGAATCAATTTATCATGAAGTTATTTTCAGGCCATGAAATAAGAAAAATCAGCTGTGTCTTTTGAGGACTGGAAGCATGCATCTTCCTATGTTATTTGAACATAATAAGTACTTACACCATGACAGCATGTAATGGGAGAATACAATAATTCTTTATAACCTGTACAAGTTTAAAAACTGTAGCTCTGTTACGGCTTGAAATTTTCTTACAAAATTAATTATAGTAAATAATAAACAAATTCAATACTTACTACTTCCAGTTTGGGGGAAGTACTCTCTTGGCCTTAAAATATCTAGCTAATCTGTGTATGCGGCTTTCAATCAAAATGAGACGAAACTTTGAATCTTTATCTTTCCTATTTCTCTCTAAATGCTTGCGCACAGCAACAGCCTTCTTAATAAGATGATAAAGATCTTCAGGGAGATCTGGAGCATAACCTTTCGCTTTTAAAATTCTCAGGATCTTGTTACCAGTGACCCAACGTACTTGAGCAACTCCGTGTGAATCCCTTAAAATGACACCTAAAATTTAAAAATTATATTTATTTAATTAAGAATTTCACTCTACTCCTAAATTAATTACAAAAATTCTATTTCAGATTTAGGAATTTTTCTATACTTTCTTATTATTTTAACTAAAAGTTAATATTTAATTTAAACTAAAAGTTATTATTTAATTATTTTCTGCTTCATGACACAATGGTGAAAAACACTTGATGATGGCCTACTTAAATAAACATTCATAGTTCCAGTGGTGAAAAAGAAGATTGAAATTTATAGGTATGCATTATATAAGCCAGCTATAAAAATTAGATTTCTACATGGTCCTAAATGCTGTTTCTTTCTTTCTTTTTTAAAAAAAAGGCATACCTGAAGAACTTAAAAACTTTTACTATCAGTTAACATGAAAAATTCATATTCATCTTTTGTTACAGATTCAGGCATATCATTGAATTGTTTCATCTTGACCATTACTGTTACTCTAATCCATAAATAAATAATCATACTCCATTCCATCTAGACTGTTAAACATACTGCACGTTTAAATGACTTTTTGATTTATGTTCCGTTTAATTTCATTCCATGTGTTTACTATCCACTCGCACATTATTCCTAGACTGGCATTATGCATTTAGGCTCATTTTGTAAATATTTTTTCACCTTACATCCATCTATTTCACTGTAATTTTAAATTTTCTTTGAATGGTTAATTGATACACACATCAAGAGGCTGAACTAATGGCATTAATCCACCTGGAATAACAGCCATGTCTACATTACACTCTTTCAACAGTTTCTTCGTATAATCCACTGGGTGGGATTTGAACATATCAAACTAAAACAAAAGACTTCCTGGATTCTTTAAGGTAACGGGATGCTTTTACCAAACATTTTTTACCCACAATTTCACATCCTTTCTTGTGAAACATGAATAAATGGGCCATTTTCAAATTTTGCTTATGTATGCTGTCCAAGAAAGAAAAAAAATTCAAGACAAATTAATATTTGAAGTTTAATTTGAGCAATGTATTGCATAAAGATGACTATAAATATATTTCTACAATTTAAAATATAAAAAATCAATTAAAAATTTTACAGATTGCAAATAAACCAAAATTCCTGGAATACTTGATGTTCAATCCTTTAGGCATTTCATTTCAATATCACGTATTTTTCAGCAAAATTAATGTTTGTAGTAGTTATTTTTTGCTTATTATAAAATCTCCAGCTAATATACTTCAGATTTCAGAACTTACTTGCAAAACAATTTTTAGCACTTCCACCAACAAGGTATAGCAATTCAGTTGAAAACTGGCACTTTTCCACATTAGTGAACATATGATTACAGATTTTTACGTGTACATGATTTGTTTCTCTAGCTATTGAAAATTCTTCCAAAATACACGTTTCCATTTGTAAATATTTAATATGCTTACTATTTTTAATCTGCCTTGATGAAAAAGATGCTAAAGCCGGAAAATAAAAGCAGAAAAATGACTGCCATCGTATCTAACACAATTCATGTTCAACCATCGTAACGCATCTGATGCAATATTACTAGCAACTGCTGAACTAGGGATACCAAAGTTGCTTATTAAATTTTATTAAATACCAATAAATGTTAAATGTCTTCTATATGGAATAAATTCTGTTATACTGATATTTAACAAACTCCTAACCTTCCCTTAGTCACTAATAAGTCACTTTCATTTTTGCGACTGTTTATAAAACATCTGGTAATAAATGCACAACCAGACTGAAAAGAGAGGTAGAAGTATGCTGCAGTCACAGAGTAGAAATAAATAACTACTGTTGTACTCTAGGCATTTCTTGCAAAATTAGCACACACTGAGCAAATTTTAAAGAGTCTGCATAATCAAAGTTCTTCTACAGCCTATATTTATACAATAACCTTTTATAAAAAATTTTTGCCTTTTTCACTACTGATGAGAATGAAAAAAGCCAAAAGCAAGTAATCATAAAAATTTCAACTTACCAATTTGAGATGGGGTAAGACCTTTCTTAGCAAGTTTGCATAACTGTTCTGTTACATCTTCTGAAGATAACTTTAACCACTATATGCAAAAATGTTCCAGTATTTCAGATTTGTTTAAAATATCTTCATAAGATTTTAACAAATAATTTTCCAAACATTAAACGTATACTGGGTTATCCAGAAAGTTCAGCAGTTTTTCAAAACAAAGAGCATTTCTTCTAGTTATTTTAGATACTCAGTTATCAGGACTGGTTTTAGAAGTGTATGTATATGTGTGTGTACACTATACTTACATATATACATGAGCACATCCATACAATTTTAACCCGGTCCCCCAATAACATAACAGTAGTACTTATTTTATTACTACTAAGAAGTGACCTTGATTGAAGCAGACATTGAATATGTTCTTTTCTGCTGACACTGAATAATTCTAGTAGTGCTGTAGCATACCGTTTGCTTGAGTATAGCGGTAAGAGTAGAAAACTCAAAACTTTTTTTCCCGTCTTAATTTGGTTTTTGTTTTAAAAAACAAATAAATGCTAGTTATACTATTAAAATCTGCACTATATATAGACAAAGTGCTATTTCTGATGACAGTTCAAATGTGATTTGAGAAGTTTAAGCATGGAAATTCAGCTTTGAATATCCTGCTTACTCTGAATGATCTATCTTCTGTAAACAAGGACATACTAAAAGAAGCTATTACTGGAAAATCCACATTATACAATTCGGAAATTCTCAAAAAAATTAAATGTTCTAAAAAGTACAGTGTATGTACTAAAAAGTACAGTGTATGTACTTTTTAGAATTGTATTGTATGATCATTAAGAATATTTGGGTATATAAATTGTTCCATTGTATGGGTACCATATACTCTGACAGAGAATATGCTTGCTGGAGTTTTTGCACAATTCTTCGTCAAAAAGAAATAAAAGCTCTTTTTTTAAAGAGTTTATTACTGGATATGTTAATTAACTAAGCAAGGAGTTATGGGAATGTGCCTACAGGGAGAAATGCCTTATTAGAAGACTTTTAAGGGAAACTGGCTCATATGCTTGTTACATATGGGAAAAACCACAAAAACTAACCATGCAGCATGTTTACTGGGTTGCAAATATGAACCGAACTACCAGTGTTCAATGACTTTATCACAAGGCTGCTGGGAAACCCATTACTGGAGAAGAGAAGTATATATAATACAAGAATGCTACATGAAAAAGATCACAAGGAAGCCAACAAAAACTGTTACATCCCAATAAAATATAGCTTTGTTTACAATGGGATGGTTTGGTTTATAGAAAAGCATTTGAGAGCTATATGCCTATGGACAGGGATGTCTTGTAAGGTAAACTGGCTTGTATAAATGCAACAATGGCGAAAATCATGCAGTTAGCCCATTCACTGAGATTCAAACCCTGAACTGAATTACCAGTGTTCAGAGAATTTACCTCTTGGCTGGTGGCAGGCTTTTTATAACGAGACTACAAAGGAATTATATGTTATATACTACCAATTATTATATTATTACCACTATTATTTATATTATTGCTACCAAATCAAAATACTTTAGAAGAGTAAGGTAGTTTTAAAAGCAGAAACTGAAGCACACAGAATTGACCAATTAAAAAGGTGCTGTCTTTCCATTATTACAATGCTGGGTCTCACATTTCAATGAATATCAAACAGACTTATTAAATATAGCTGGCATGTAACCTCCCATATCCATCAGACCTTGCCCCCTTGGATTTTCATTTCTTTAAGTCACTGTAAAATTCCTCGAGAGGCCTAAAATTCACTTCTTTGGGGCAATCAAACAGCACCTTAACACTCAAATAGTACCTCCTTTATAAGATGGCAAAAAGTCATAGCTCGAAAGGGTACTTTTCTTATATGTTTATACAGTACAAAGTCCGTAATCAGGACTCGTCGGGACTTCGGTGATTCAGGATTAGGGTTTTTTCTGGATTATAGATCAATTTAAATTTGGCAAGACGGCATGCAGAAATTATACAATTAAAAATATGAAACCGTAATTTATGAAATAAAGAGCAATTATGATCTAAAGGGTATCAAAGTTTACAAAAAAAAAATAACTTAATATTTATATGTTTACTTTATTAAACATTTCTTTCAATGTAAGTTGTTTAAGTTACTTCATTTTTTGCACTAATACTTTCTCTTAATTCTATAAACAGATATAATTTCTTGTTTAGTTACAAAGTTCAAACACTGTAATTGCTGTGTTGAGAATACCGACTAACTTGTCCATCGAAATTTTTTCATTTTCAATAACCTCTCTGTCACTTTCTTCACTATCGCAAGTGCGCATGCGTAAAGCCTACAAAAAAAAGTTTGTGGCTTTGAGGTCTGGATTATAGATCATTTTGGATAATGGACGTCCGGATTACGGACTTTGTATTGTACTGATTTATTTATATTTATCATCAAAAACTGCAGAACTTTTAAGCTAACCCAATACATTATAACTATAAATGAAAAAAATACATATTTTTTAAAATACATGGCAAGTTTTGTTCATTTCAAAATATATTACAAAAAAAGTAATATAGAAATGCATTAAGAATTCATGTGAAAGTTTAAGCAAAAAAACTACATATAGAACTTTGACCAGTTTCTTTAATCACACACATAAGATAATTTCCATACATGTATGATCAATGTGCACTACTCTATTAGCAATACCAGGGGTAGGTTTTGGTTATCAAATTACAAAACATCACTAAATGTCTTATTAATGGAAATTTACCATATGAAATTTTAAGACTTTTAATAATAAGCACTGGTTACAAGATTACTTGGCACATTTCTGAGGTGTTTCTGTAGGAAAAGCATCCTACACTTAATAAAAAATTTATTATACATTTTAGCAAACACATTAAACTGCAAGACAGAAAAGTACCCTACTGTTTCTTTTGACTGCTATACTTGAAAAGGGAGAAAGCAGGGATCCCGTACTTTAAAAACATGCCAGGCTATCCTCATAATTTACTACATATGAAATCTTCAAAGGATCAATATCATAAGTTGATAAAGATATGAAAAAAGGTATTCTAATTATAACAAGTTAATGCAGTTATTTAAACATATTAGAAGTAATGCATATCATTTCTTCATTATGAGAACATGTGCCAGTGTTGTTATTCAAATTCTGAGCAAAGATGTTATAAATAGACAAAATATATACAGAACAGAAAATTATAAATATGTCTTGCTACATAAAAGAAAACCGTCTGCAATAATGATTCTACATCAGAAGCACAAATCATTGATATTGTGAAAAATGACATGGAAATCATACAAATAATCAAGAAAGCACTTTCAAAGAAAATTTCTATGAATTTGCTTTGAAATATGTATTAATTTATAATATGTATAAATATGCTTCTATGAATGTGTAAAACATATAAAACAACCATACACTCAAATTTAATTTCGTTTTTATCATGAAGTAAAACATACTGCATAAAATATATATAACTACTCTAAATCCTCTCCCATGGCACATTGTGAACAGTTACAGTGTAACATAGTCCATTAACTCTTTAAAATCCAGAGCCTTCGCTAAGCTGTATCCTCAAAATAACCAAACCGCCCGAAATACTTTTCCAGTTTCACAGCAATTTCCTCCCCTCCCCATCCATTAACGCAGAAAATAGGTGTGAAGATTTCCAATTACATTCTTTGTACTTTCTAACAAAAGATTCCATTAGCCTTTGACCCTGTTCGTTATAAAACTATTCTGAAGGTCAGATTAACAAGCCTTTCCGGCGTTGTTATGATCACGACTGAGATTTTGTTTATTTCCATTATTTTTATAGGAATAAATATAATCCTATTTTAAATAAATATAATCCTTAAATTTTTAAACTGCTCTTTTTTTGCTGTTTAAAGCTTAAAAGCACACTGTACCACAAAAGAATCAACAATGAAATGTCGCAATCAAACAAAAGATAAAAAAAAGAAACTCTTAGGACAAGCTGTCTGCAGTAAACTGATTCAATGCATTTGGGGGAAGTGCACCTGCTGGTGCATACCTTAGGGAGAGAGAAGAAAAGAAGATTACAATCTCAGCCGTTTTCGGGCGGTTCTGGTTGTTTCAAGGTAGGGCCATGTCGGGCGGATTGGATGTGAAGGAGTTATTGGATGTGAAGGATCTATAGCATACCTGCCAACTTTTACGAATATTTCATCATTTTTACGAAAATGCGTTTGTCTTTACGATCGTAATCCATTTTTATGATTTTTTTCTTTTTTCAAGTGTTTTTAGTGATTTTTGTCGAAATTTTAGAATTTGTCGCCAATTCAGCGATTTTCGCCAATTGCATGGTGTTTTACCACCAACTACCGACTACTTCGAATCCAGTAACCTGCGGTTTATCCCAATTCGCCGCTTAACCAGCCAATCCAATGCGCTGAACTTGTTTCTCCCACTCTTTTCTTTGTGGGCGCCAGATTATTTTTTTCGCGTTCACTTCAGCAGCAAGGCAATTACTGAGCTCGGACTCAGCGAGCATGGATTGTCGATTCTGTTCTTTTTTTGTTTGCACGTGCTACGAATTTTCTTAACCGTATTCCAATATTTTCGGCCTTGTTACAAAAGCCGAAGTTCCAACAATTAAACCGTATTCTTCAAAGGAATTTTCATGCATTTTGCAACGTGTGCGTGTGTGACTTCATAATAAGTCACGGTGGAAGAAGTGCCATTGTGAAGCATGTTAAGTCTAAAAAGCTTCGACAACGTCTAATGCTAAGCATCGACAATGTCAAAGAAAGTGGGTGATTTTTTTTCAAATTCGGCTACGAATTCGGATGCCGATGTCATTTTGGCAAAGTGTTTGTTTACTGCATTCCTCATCGAACACAACATGCGGCTAAGCGCCGCCGGTCAACTTTTCAGACGGATGTTTCCCCGACTCCATGATTGCTCAGAAATATGCTTGTGCTCGCACGAAAACATCTTCTATTGTGAACGAAATTGCTTGCGATGCACAAAGTAAAACGATAGCTGCACTCCAGAATTCAGCATTTTCAGTGTCAATCGATGGCAGCAACGAC